TTCAATCTCTCTGTCTACTATTCCAGTTCCGACTAAATTGTCTCGCTTTATCTGGCGCGCTTATATACATGAATAGAGGGCGTCTAGCAAATACTGGATTATTCGTGATGTTCCCCGATTCTTCTAGATACTCATTACGTGTTACCAGCGTCACGTGACTTCCGCTGTCTAACAATACTCTCTCAAAACAGTCCTCTAGTGGGAAAACGGTAAGTCTACGAACTTACAAAGCTAAAATCCTGGATAGTCCAATGTGGCTTTGCTCTAAAAACATAGAAAGTCAAGCATCCCAATCCACAAGTTACATATTTCAACCAATTGTATATCTACATGCAATCGTAAACCAAGCCAGGTGAACAGGTTACGTTCCAAGAAGTTTCCTGCAGAAACGCATAGCTACTACCTTGATACTCAAGGACAAAGGTAGTGTGTGCCTTTACACGTTTAAAAGGATTAGCACGTGTTTACAACTTCTTGAGACGTCAGTCAGAGAAATTAGCTACAAACAGAAACAGCATGGAAATATACAAAAACTGTTTGAATATACCCGAATAAAGTTATAACTTATACTAATTATGAAAATGTTAATTTCGTGACTATTGAAGTCATTAGAACTCCCTCTTTCATATTTCAGGGACAGTCTCATCACAAAGAGCAGCCACTTAAAAAAAAAAGTCAAATAAAATACAACTCAAAAATCAAAATCATGATATGCAGTAAAATAAACTCTAAATTCAAAATACATCAAAATTATAATTCAGAATAGAAAGCAAACCAAATTAAATCATAAACTATAATTCAATAATCTAAAACAATGGAACAAGTGACTTATCTAAAACAATGGAACAAGTGACTCATCTAGGCTAGGAAACAGCTCCATAATATAAAACAATGGAACAAGTGACTCATCTAGGCTAGGAAACATTACAACCACAGCCAATATAAAGTTGGAGTGGAGTTCTTTACAATGCTAGATATTCATACCAAAACTGCATTCCGACATTGTTTGTCTTTTCATAATTTGCGTGGTGCTACCAAAATCTAATCACTTTTTGGAAAGGTACGTAAGTTCTTTACAATGCTAGATATTCATACACTCGGATCTAATAGATGTGTTGGGATTGGGGATTTTCAAGAAAGGAATATCTTTTGTAAATAGTAGCATTAGAAACAAAACGAATGTAGATGAACTTGGGGTACCAGGACGATCCAGAAAGAGTTTTGTTTTGTTTGTTTTTTTAATTTCGCGCAAAGCTACACGAGGACTATCTGTACTAGCCGTCCTTAATTTATCAATGTAAGACGAGAGGGAAGACAGCTAGTCATCACTTGGGCTACTCTTTTACCAGCGAATAGTAGGATTGACCGTCACTGTATAACGCCACACGGCTGAAAGGGCGAGCATGTTTAGTGAAACGGGGATTCGAACCTGCGACCCTCAGGTTGTGAGTCGAGCGCCCTAACCACCAGGCCATTCCAGAAAGAGACTGCAACAAGCCTTTCCCTAGTCCAGCTGAGATAACCAAGATGTGGCATCTTGTAGCAGGTGAGAATCTACAAACATGAAAGTCAGTCCTTCATGTTTGACGCTTGCCATCACACTGACACTCGAAAGCACCCGTAAAATGAGTTTTGCGAGGGCTTTACAAAGATATACTGGTCAAGTCATTGGGTGAAGCGCCTATGGATTTCTGTCCAATTAGGTTGCTGAAATGGGAAGCTGGGAAACCGTCATTCTTATACACTACATAGGTTGTGGAAAAATCAAAAGAAAATGGGTATGCTTTGGACATGACATCCTCACGACGGTTTTATAAACAACAACTCAACTGCAGGGCTTTTGTCATCAGATAAAACACGATGTGATGAATCTGTATAATCGTTTTAATACAACACACTCAATCTCTATTACTTATGTCCAAAAATATCATTAGCAGCGAGTTTATCCATCTGATGAAAAAATGCATTCCAATCTTCACAAACGGTAAATTTAACTTGCTATACACATTACCATGGTAGTTTGAGTTTATCCATCTGATTAAAAAATGCCTTCCGATCTTCACAAACGGTCAATTTAACTTGCTTATACTCATTACCATGGCAG